AAATGACTAATTTCGAAGATCTAATCCAAAAAAGTCAATTGCGCAGTACGATCTAAGAGCCACTGACACATTCGGCACTATTTTCGGAAAACGCACGCACGAAACAGAAAAAAAGTAATCAATGCCATTAGAGAAAATTCTGCTCTACACTGTTAGATGAAAAAATCCGAATCCAAAAGCCTAATTTCGAAGATAGAATCCAAAAAATTCAATTGCGCAGCACGATCTGACAGCCGCGAATACTTTCCCCACTATTTTTCGAAAACGCATGCTCGAAACCGCAAAAAAATCATCAATCCCTTTGAAGAAGAATTCTCTCTATGCTGTTATTCCGAAAAAACCTAACCGAAAAGCCTAACTTGTGAAATATAAGGGAGAAAAGTAAACTGTGTAGAACGATTTCACGGGCACTTGCTTTTCTGTCACTTCGATTCATGTATGCTCCTTCAATCGTAAAATAATTGCCCTACTAATTGGAGAATAATCTATTCTACGCAGGAGTAATGAAGTATCTTAATCCACAATCGACGTTTAGAATGTATAAGCAATAATACATAGCTACTTCGCAATTGAACGTCAAGATTGAAGAAAAATTGAAAAAACTGTTAACAAGCTGCCTATTCGAAGTAAAAATGTTCAAATATATTACTGGACAATCAAGATCTAGAATCTACTACAGTGGACGGTTGGGGACTGTGCGATAGTATTACACGATCCGCACTCACACTGCTTCATTTCACGCATGTATCGTTATACGATTTTCACTATGTCAAATCATTATTTTTTACACGTAATATATTAGCACCGAAGAAATTTTCACAGTTAGTAATCCTGAACTTCGTAAATTTCTCACAATTTCTTAAACTTTCACTGTATCTTATTCGTAAATATTGCAATAATGTTACAAACGTAACCTACAACTGGAATTTCGCGAACTTATACCCGAAACGTCGTGTTATAGTTCTTATATATATATATTTCCTCAGTTGTAGCAATTAAAACTTCAATCAGCGATATCACTACTTTACGAAACGTTTTGTGGAAATCTTTAATATTTCACTTTGTCGTACAAAATTATTCCACTATTTGTTACCGGTATGTTCGTTTGGCGCGGAACTGAAGATAACGGACACTAGGCAATCTGTGCATTTTTCTCGCGGGAAAATGCTGCGTCTTTGAAATAGCCATATGCTAAAGAAGTATTGATGTGGAATATCAAACAACGTTTCTTATATTTACTAATATCAATGAAGCAAATACAAATACGTTCCTCTTACGAAAATGACAAATTAATAAATGCTTAATTTCCACAGCAAAAACGTTATAAATTAATAAAAATAATTATAAAATTAATAATAAAATTATAATATATAGTAAATCAGCAAAAACGTTATAAATTAATAAAAATAATTATAAAATTAATAATAAAATTATAATATATAGTAATACATAATATATATATATATATTAGTTACAAAATTTTATAAATGAGCATTATGATCACCTTTATTGACAATA